ACCTGTATATATATATATATATATATATATATATATTCTTAATTTAATTATCAACCAAATAAAAAAGAATCAGATCTGGTTGAAGCTAGAGCTTTGATACTTGTGATAATATTTATACGTAAATTTTAAATACATTTTCCAGTTATTTAACTGTGTCCTAATTATTGTTAGACTTAATTAATAGGCAAACATAAACTAAAGTTGAAATAATATCACACAATTAAATTGATTCTCAATTTAATAATATCCAATGCTGATAAGCATCTTAGAATATTGCGAAAAACTTATTGTGAAAAATATTAATTATCAACTCTATCTCAATATGATTATTGAAGGTTTTATGTTAAAGCTATTAAATTAAGACGACATGAAGAAATAATTTGATGAAAAATTAAACTGTTCTAAACACAAGTTTCACATACCAGAATCAATGTCAATATATACTTTGTTTTCCATCAAATATTTATATTATACATTCTTTTATGAAAATAAAATATTCTATATATAAATTTTCCAATTATATGAAAACCACAATGTACATTCTACTACTGTAGGAGACAAATTCCGACAATAATTTATTGGCAATCCCAGATTTAACTAATATAACATAGATATTCAAGATGCATATCCTAGGGTGTGTCCATTTCGTGCATGACTCGTATAATGTATCGTTATATCCTTCTTTAATATTCGTAACAACAAGGATAAAATGATGATGCGCATCATGCGTGAAATAAGGCGATACCTTATTCCAACCGTCAAGATTATCCTGATTCCTGGGAAAGCCGTCGATGAGAAATCGGTGATGCGGATTCTCGGATGTCTGCATGGCGCGATCGATAAGGCTACAGGTGATCTCCACCGGGACAATCGTACCGTTTTTGATATGCGTTTCGATGAGCTCACCATACTCCGAGCAAGGTTTGGCGCGTTCCTCGCGCAGCAGATCACCAGCCGATAGATGAACATAACCGTAATGCTCGACAATGTAGCGGCAGAGCGTGCCCTTGCCGGCACCCGGGCCGCCTAGGATGAACACCACCTCCGGCTTTTGCATCGTGACAGCGGACATCGTGCGGATACAACGTCGCGCACCGGCCACGAGAGTCCGTAACATGTACAGAAAATTGCTATATATGTATATACCAACGCACACCCGATCAATCCACTAGTATATACACGCAATACACGCAATACACGCGACGCCGGCGATTATACTGGCGCCATTTTTAAAAGGCGCCAAGAATGTAGAAACCCATGGTACAGTCACCGACGAGATATTATTAAAGACCGACATCCTTATGGAAGTTCGCGTCCTTGTTAATATTGAAGTGATTAAGAGTAAAAAAACTGATAATATTGTACTAATTTTATGATTTATTAGTTTAGTAGACGTGTTTATCGGTGTACGTGCATTTAAAACTCAATAATACTCGATTTTTCTTTAAAATTGTGATTTCAGTGTTATCGTCAAAGTTCGATTATCA